ATCCCATCCCATCCCATCCCATCCCATCCATCCCATCCCATCCCATCCCATCCCATCCTTACAGCCCTCTCTTCTATTGTGTGGAGTTGCCCTCTGATGGCAGAGGCCCCATCAATGTAATAGTCCATCCCTCGCAGGCAGTGGTGGCACGCAGAGCAGGGGCTGTAGTAGCCCCAGTAGGGTCCCCTCCCTGTCACACTGTACACAGGCAGCCTGGGCAGCATGTCGGTGGCCATCTCCCTCTCTGCAAGTGGAGGGATGGCGAGGGTAAGGGTGAGGAGCAGCCAGCCCGTCACCTGGATGCATGCCAGCACAGCACGGGCACAGCTTCAGCTGAAGTACAGGGACAGGGTGAGGGTAGTTACCACATTGGTTGATGCAGGTGGGATTCAGGGGGTACGACACAGGTATGCTGTGCAGGAAAGTCTCCATCCTTGTCTCCTGCAAGGAGCGATAGCAGTCCTTTCAGGATTGCCACCCTTTTGTTGCAGAGCCTGAGGTGCAGGCAGCACCTGAGGTGGCTCCAGTTTGGGGAGGCCAGGGGGGCTGGACTCTACCTTGGGTGGGAGAGGGAGGCAAGAGGAGTACCTATTCCAGACTGTGCTGCTGCAGGGATCTGTTCTCCAGGTGAGGTATTTGTCCTTGTTTGCAAAAACTGACTTGTACTTGTCTGCAATACAAAAATGACAGGCAGGGGTATCCTGTGGTGTTGGGGGACAGCTGGAGGGTCCTGACTGTTCCCCCTCTCCCCAAAATGCAATGCCACAGGGCCAGGGGTCAAATCAGAGGTGCTGCTCCCGGGGTCCTTTTTAAGGATCTCTGCTGGAGGTGACACCCACCACTTCAAGTTCGTTGGTCACTTGTCCCTGCCCATGAAGCCTTGGTCCCCAGGGACTATGGGGGGCTGCCAGGAGGGTGACCCCCAGGCAGCACCTACCAGCAGGGGCCTGTGGGGGAGAGAACCCTGGGGACTGTGGACATCCCTGGGACAGGGACAGTCTCAGTGCAAGGATGGGGATGGGTGGCCATGGCAAAGCCACAAGCACAGATGCCAAGGGAGAGTCCCTCTGCCACAGTGGGGGATAGGCAGTATGAAAAAGGGGAGAAAAAAAGGGCCACTGCCAGCACCCTCCAGCCCCTGACTCCACGGGGATGTGCCCTGTGTGACACAGGGGGACAGTACCTTTAGACCTGGCCAGCCAGTACTTCTTGGGCCAGTAAGCAGTAGGGTCGATGGTGTTCCTGTAGTTCTCCTCCGCCTTAATCGGCACCTCAGTCTGACCTTGGCTCACTGAATTTTGCACCAGGGGCATCGTTAATCCCTACAGACAGTGGGGAGTGGGAAGAGACACCCAGGCCATGTGGCAGCATCTGCCTTCACGGCCATCAGGGCACACAATGAAGCCATTACAGGGCAGGGTCTAACGCCGGAGATGCAGCTGGAGATCCAAGCACCAAGCCTCCTTCGCAGTTGGCGCACATGGGGGTTGTAGCAGCACTACGATACCCTCTACAAGCTTCCCACTCACCCGAAACCGGGGAACAGAGGATGGCTGGGCATCACTGGCTCCTCTCCCCCTGCACCCCAGGTGTCCATAGGCATCCAGGCACATTGCAGAGTGGGAGAAAGGGTATGGCCTGCCAGGTATGGGGCCAGCAGAGGTTGAGAAGGGAGTTAGAGGACCAAACTGTAGATGTCCTACAGCTGGCAAGGCCCAAGAGGGCTGAGGTCTTGCAGGGCAGATGGGTGCCCTGGTTGCATGAGCCATTTCTGTCCCTGCAGTGGTGATGTCCCTCTCCATGCCCTCTGCTGGCTCCCTCTTTATAGTGCACATGGTAACGAAGCTGGAAGAGATGAGCCAGTTTGCAGCATGCTTTGCATCGGAGCCTGCATGCTTATTAGCCTGTGTGGGGAAAGCTGCATGTCCTACAGACACCCCCTGTAGTGAGGTCACGGTTCAGGGATCACGCCTCCTCCAGAAACAGGGTTTTTTTGGTGCTCAGATCTCCCCCAGTCCTTTGCACAGTCCCCCTGGCATGGAAGGCTCCCCAGACAGAACTGAGCTGAGCCTGGGGGTTGTGTGTTGGAACAGCAGTCAGAGCCACCTGATCTGTTCCCCCCACTGCCACCATGTCACACAGCAGTCCTGCCACTGCCTCAGTTTCCCCTTCCTCAGCAGATCCTGGCTCCTGTGCATTCTGAAACCTACTGATGGACAGGGCTGACGTCTGAGAGCTTGTGCTGGTGACTCCCGGCCTGCAGGGTGCAGTTCCAGGGGACAAGAAGCCAATGAGCACAGGCCCTGTGGTGTCAAACATTTTTCCTAAACAGAGAGCATGACCCCCCGCCTCCATCACACACATGCAGTGAGGCACCCCATGAGTCCATGTGCCACCCCTCTGCCTGGCACAGAGCATCTGCAGCTGAGCAGGGGTAGAAACCCTGAGGTTTCCTCATCCCATGGCACTTACCGGCGTCACAAACCTGTTCTCGCTACAGAGCTGCTGTGAAGTCTGCTTTTGGATGGTCTTTCTGACAGAGCATGGCGGGCGGTAGGAGTCGGTGTAAGTGCTGATGGGGGTCTTGTGTTTTTTGGAGAAGAGGAACATGGTGCAGCAGTGCACTGGGATGGGAGCACTTGGAGTCTCAGGGGTGCCCCACTGCATGAGCAGCACTGCCTGGGGCTGGGAGCTTGCAGCCCAAGCAGGAAAGGGATCGAGGCTAGTGCCACTGCTCTGCCAGCCCAGGGTGGCACTTAGGTGATCAGTGATGTCATAGCGTGTGAGTAGAGGGACTTGTTTCCTGTCAGTCCCATAACTACGCTCTGGTTCTAGCTAGACCAGAGCACAGCAGTTGCTACCTACATCCCTGTATGAACTGCACCCTCCTGGCTTTGTCCTGGCTCCGGGCTTCCTCCCCTCCTGCAGGCACCTTAACAATGGCAGGAAGCAGTTTTAGCTGGTCCTAGTCAAGATAGTTTTATCTTGGGAGATGCAGCACTAGTGATTGTGGTTTTTCCAGCTCCTCTTCTGTATTTCCTTGGAAATCCTGCAGCAATCCATCTGTGTGCATACAGCACCACACCAGTGCAGCCAATGCCCAGGGCACAGCACCAGGCACTGCTGTCCCAGCCTGCTAGGTAACCAGGCGAATTATTGCCTGCTCTGTCTCCTGTTTTTAATTAAAAAGTTGTATTTAGGTGCTCTTGTGTTGCTTGTTTGCTCTTCTGTCCCGAGTGATGGATGCTGCAGTCAGAGTGAGTGATGCTCATTCATTTCAGTGCAGTGAGGCAGCTGGATTACAGCAAGGAGGGATTGGCTTGAACTGGGTTTGTTTTACCCTGAGCCAGGGAGTCGAGCAGAGATCTTTGCCCCTGCAGAAACCCCATTCTGGCCTGGCTTGTCACAACAGTGTCAACTCAGAGCCCTGCTCTGCTTCTGGCTCTGACCTCTCTGCTGCCATGTTTTTGGAGATGATCAGTGAAGACCCATGTTCATCTTGGCAAAGGTGGATGCCAGCCGCCCCCCTGAAGGGCTACAGAGCCCTGCTCTGTTTGCTGCAGGCAGTGGTGGGGCTGGGCAGCCTGGGGCACCTGAATACCTCCAGGCAAACGTGATTAATGTGTCATTAGAGACGAAATGAAGAAAACAAGTTGCCATTCATTTTCACACCCCACGTGTCTCTGCTGAGCCAGGCTTAGGCTCTCCATCGGCCCTGTCCCCTCCTAGTCTCCCAGTGGCTAGAGACTGGGAGGGTGGACATGGGGGTGCCTATGCCCTGCACCAGGTCTGTGGCCCTGGAGCACCCCAGGGCACACATCTGGGGAACACCGCTCAGCAAAGAGGTGAAGTCCAAGCCTCTTGGTTGCAGGGGCACTAATCCTGCACCGGACCAGCTTCTAGCATGAGCCATTGGCACCCCTTGATTTCAGTATCCGTGACTGCTGGGGGCTCAGAGGAGATGGCACAGGTTCGCTCCAATGAGAAAGGCTGGCAGGCTGGTTTTCATATGTATGCTTTTTAATATCATTAATTCTGTTACACTACACACAACCAGTAACAATGATAAATACTGCAATGGAAATGTTAAAAAAAATATTATACATGTTTTGTGTTTTTGAAAAAAACCCCCACATTTTAAAATAAATTAATGCATAAAACTGATGGTAGAAAACCTAAAACAAACCACAACACAACTGATCTGTTAAGGCAATACTCTACGCAGACGGAAACAGAAGTACAACAGTGTGCTACATGTTCTGAATGGGAAAAAAAAGAAAAGAAAACCCATACAAGATGCAGACTGATGCTTCAGGAGTGAAAAAACTCCCAAAACCAGATAATAAAACCAATGGCCAAGTTAAGTGCATTAATACACTCTGCATGTCAAATGATTAGCAAGTTCCTAACATGGACTAAGGTCAAGCTACAACAAATTTATCTTCCTAATTAAAAGGTTATTCAGGTCAAACCCTACATTTAACTCTACTTCGCATTTGGCTGTTTCAGCTATGTTTCACTATATGCAAGGACAGTGGAAATTCATCTCCTGCTCTTGAGAATAACTCAAAGGTCAGGAGGTGTCTCCTCCTGAAAGATATTACCATCAAATACATCCAAAAAGGATCTTGCTTTTGGTGATCCTGAAATGCCTCCTGCTACCCCCTCCCCTGGGGTGCTAGGCACTGCATGGGGAAAGGAGACCCAGCAAGCATTTGCTTGGGTTTTTTCCAAGCTGAGGACGCGAAATGAAATCGCAGATTTGATCCGGACTCGAAGGAGTGATGTTTCCCTGTCTGCCAAAAATGTCTATTGGGAGCCTGCTGAAAGCTTTCTGCTAGTATGGGACAAACCCAGCCTGAATCCAGGCTCTGGATACAGCCATGACGTTTGCTATTAAGGTTGGTGCAAAGCTCCATACTTGCCCAGCCAGCCAATGAACCCCAATTATTAATGCAGCCCAGAACTTGGCCACTGGAAGGTGGACAATAATCATAATGCCAAAAAAATCCCCCTCTCCATCAAAAAAGAAAAGAAAAGGGACAGTAGCCACTTTCTGCCAGCTTCCCCCAGCGTATCCCCATCAGCTGCCACCTACACAAGATTGGCAGCGCTTGATCTCACCAGCATTGACACAGTACCTTCCCAATAAGGTGCATGTCTGCAAGGTGCTGCCGGGGGAAAAGTAGCTTCTTGGGACATGGTCAGAGCCTCCTGTACTGCCCTGCTAGAGTGCATGCGGAGGAAACTATGGTACACGAGGAAAGAAACCCGAGTGGAGTTACTGCACTTGTGATGGCCGACAACTGTCGGGGCTGCCTTGGGTTCGGGTGGGTTTAGGGGATGCAGAACCAGGCTAAGAGTCACTTTGGTGCAACCGCCTCTGATGCTCATCACATGTGCATGGGGTTGGGGGGAGGAAAGGTGATGGCTGCTTTGAGGAGTGGAAGGAGGACGTGTGCAATATAACAAGGCTTGCAATTCTAGGACTAATCACTGGACACGGATACCAAAGATTACCTGTAATAACTACCTATCCTTCTACTGTCGCTGTACCTTCTCCGCTTCCTGGTCTGATTCTTCTTCAGTTTGGGAAGCCATGTCTGCTTGGCATGATGGCCAAAGCTGACTCCCACCCTAGTCCCCGTTGCACAGGGAGATTCAGCTACAGGATGTACAATGAGGTCTGAAAGTTGCAGGTCAGGCACAGACCAGCTCTGCATGCAAGTAGCACCTGCTTTCAGACCCTTCAGAAAGCTATTTCATGGTGGCTCGTTTCCTTTATTAAACTGAAGGTTCAATAGCCTCTGTGGAAAGAGTAAAAATGGTTAAAAATATGCAAAAGGGTAAAAAAAAACTTTCTGAATTTTCTCCCCTGCAAAGACTATCCTCTGAAAGAGTCTTTCTCCCTGCAGAACTACAGCCCTACCAGAGTGTTCTACAGCATCCTGCCACAGCACAGCAGGAGCACAGCCAAGAGGCATCCCACTAGTGCCTCTGCTGCAGGTCTCCAGCCTGCACCAGGAGCACATGGGCTGGCAGGGCTGGGACCTGGGGCTTGGATCCCAAACATCCCGCAGCACTGAGAACGGGAGGGTGAAGGTGGCCAGCTTGGCCTGCTGGATCACACCAAGGTTTAACAGTAGCGTGAGGAACCCTCAGCCCCACAGCCTTCAGGCAGGTGAAGAGAAATTCCAGCCTGCTCTCTGTCTCACCCACCATCACATTTGTTGGATTTCCCACTGGTCTGACATTCATTTTGGGTTTGTCACAGGACAGAGGCAGCTACAAGCCAAACACAGCTGCTACTGCAGCTTTTCCATGCAAAGAAACTGATCAAAGAAATCTGTGAGCTGGGGATGGAGATGAAGGTGATAAAAACCAGAAGGGCTGTTGTGAAGAGAGCTTGTCCAAGTTTTCCAGCTCTCTCCATATATCTGTATTACATCTCCCAACAAACTTCCCATCTCCCAAATCATGCAGGTTCGAGAAATGTGGGTAACAAGTAGAGGTGCAGCTTTTTTGGGGTGAAGAAGCAGTAAGACAGCCTGAGTGGAGAGTAGTGCTTCCTGGTGAGCTCATCTGGGGTAGCTGAATGGGCAACTAGGCGAGAAATCCTACCTCATGACAGTAAACAATCTTGGCAGGTAATGGGATTTATATCAGCACAGCCTTTCGGTGGCCTTTTCTTTTCCTGGTGCCTACTGTGCTGGCTTCCACTGACACATCTGAGATGGTCACATGTTAATGAGGCTTCTTTTGTAACTTCCACTACCGATGTAATCCCACCACCTGTAACACAACTTGTTACTATGGAAATGGTTCCACAGACCAGGCACAACCATCTAGATGGGCTCCTTCCAGGAACAAATCCATCTTTTGCTGGAGTAGCTTTTAGAGAAAGGCTCAAGTGGCAAATGGGTCTGGGAAGCGATGGGAAGGACTCTCTCTACAGGCATGACGGAAAGCTGCAATCTGTCCTGCCAGTGTCTGCTGGTTTGCAACATGGTTTGCTGCATGGTTGCATGGGCCACGGTGCTCTGCTTCATGTAATCTCAATTAGTCCCCAACCTTTGCCTCCTCAGTGCTCAGCAGGCAGCGTTTAGCTGCTGTGATCCTGAGACTGCCACCAAAGACATGGGGGACAAAGGAGAGGGTGTAGGTATAATTTTCTGGAAGCAATGCAGCAGCTCAGATGCATAGTGCAGGGAGTTAAAATATAGATGCCAGCCCTTGTGAGAAACCTGCATTAATCTTCCATAGGTAATCCCAGGTCACAACCTCTTCCTCTCTGCTAAACTGCTAACTTTTCTGCTTCAGGGCTTGTGTGGCTCTGTAACGGAGGTGGGTTTGTCTGATGAGATGCAGTTCAAGGTTTGGAGCAATCCCTCCCACAGGAAAGCCTTGAAAGGAAGTGACAAGGATGCAATGTTTTCCTAGAAGTGAAAAGCACCTGAAAATGAAGATCTTCCCACGCCTTCCTCTTAGGCTCAACCTAGCCCATCTTGCCCTGTGGCACTGCCCATATGTGCAGGTGTTTCTTCTGAACGCGCAGCCTGTGCTTGCTGAGCCAAGCAGCAGCCAGGTGACAAAGCCTACTTCATTCTAGGTAAGAGGGGCCATACCTCATGTGAGCTTAGAAGGGAGAATGGAAAAGAAAAGGAAGAGGCCAGGCAAAACTTCCAGTTTAAATCCTTGGATGATTACATGGATGCTAAGAGTATGAAATGGCCGTGGGAACATCCCAAATGAGCCCTCCACTGATCTCTTCCCTCCCACCAGCACTTGCTACCCCAGCTGCACTCCTAAATTCCTTAATTCTACTAGCAGGGGATGGTGCTGTTGGGCCACCAAATCTTCTTACATGTTCCCTGTGGCAGCACGCAGATTGAGAAGCCAGTTGTGTGAGAGCCAGCTGCCAAATAATTGGGAAACACATCCTTGCCAAACACTTTCCCCGAATGCTGTTTAATCTCTCTATTAACCTCCACCCTGCAGCCTTCTGGCACATGCAAGCAACATCAGAAGCCGGTAAACAGAGGGAAAGCAGAGTAGTACTTTGAAAATAGGAGCAAAATTTCTATAGCATGCTTTCTGCATCTTGCTTGCTGAGCTATGCTATCAATGGTGCCCATCACACACTCGGCAACATCCATGCAGGATGGTGGCAGACTCTTGGGAAGGAAGGTTTCTCCCCTGTGCTGCAGAAGGACATAGACGTCAAGAGGGGATGTGACTTGCCTGAGGTTAAAGCCAATGTGTACCACGTGCCAACAGCAGCAAAGGACCCCGGATCTCATTTCTGCGCTCTAACAGTCCAGCAGATTCTCCGCAGGAGTATTTGGCTGCAGTGCCAGCTCAGGGACACAATGTTTCTGGCGTGTGCACCTGAAAGAGAGCTTTGCTCCCTGCTGGTATCAGCACTGCACTGAAATAGATTAACTCCAACAACTGGGATCTGCCCTAGGCCAAGACAGCACTTGGCAACCTTTCTAGTTACTGCTTGTTTTCCTCTTCCTGTCATTCCATCTGGTGCCCAGCTGGGTCCTTCTTTTCTTCAAAGCATCTTTATGTTTCTGTTGAGACACATGCAGGGCACTGTACTTTTCAAGCCTCCTGCATCCCACTGCACAGCTCTCAGGCCAGCCTGAGGACACTCTGCATGGAGAGGAAAGGATTCTGCTCCAGATCTCAGACCAGTGTGTCAGCCAGCACACACCTGAACAGAGCTGGTGCCTCCTTTTGGGAAAGGAGCTGGAGACATACCAGAAACAGCAGCTGAGTCCATCCTGTCCATGCGGGAGCATCCTGAAGTCCCTTTCAAAGTCCATGCAGCAGGCTTGGTTGCCTGCTTTTGCAGTTGCAAGGCACCTGCAGGCAAGACAGCCAGTACAGCATAGCAGAGCTAATGGCCAAGCGTACATGTTGGGGGTAGACATGCAGTCAGATAAGATCCAGTGGCTCTTCCAAAGGTTGGCTTCAAGATATGTCCGATAAGACATCAAATGAGCCTTTGGGATGGTCACCTAGACATCAGCCTCCTTTCAGCCAAAATTTATTTACAAACACCAGAAAAGCAGACTAGACCATGTTACCTAAAGACCTTCCTCAACACTAGGAGGATGTTCCTCCTCACACAGACATCTGGAAATGGGGAGTCTGCAGACCAGAGAGACAGAGTTGAGAGAACTCCCAAGTTCAAAGCCAGCTCACATTAAAGGGCAAAATTAACATCTGATGAAAGGAAAGGACTTGCTTTAAACTCAGGTAATTTGGTGACTGAAATTAAATAAAATCCTAACAGAAAGCCAGTCTCAATTTAGGAGGCATCAAATGCAAATTCCTTTGTGGAGGCATCAGCATCAATATCCTTAAATTCTGTTTGCATGGTAATTCAGATGGACAGTGATGCTGCCTTTCATACCCCATGGTGTTCCTCCCCTTGGTATTCTGTACAACTTTGGACTGAAAATGGGGCCTGAGAAGACCATCTGGTTTGGTACAAAGACTAGAACAAGGAACAATTTGCTTTCTTGCATGCAATCTGCATTTAGGATAGTGCCCAGAAGCTCTGCAGATTTTAGGGCTGTATAATGCTGCGACAGAGAGTCAGGGTCCGTGTTCTTTGCTTTTGCCTTCTCTGGGCCATGGTGGCAGAGACTGGTCTAAGGAGAGCACTGCCAGAATGGCCATGTATCAGTACACCTTCCTGGGAAGTCACCACAGTGTAACCTCCAACAAGGGCACAAGGAAAACCTTCTGGCTGAAGCAAAGGTCTGAGCACAACACCAAACAGGGAGAGCCAGCCCAATCTGCAGTTAATATATACTGACGGACTGTCCACCATATTCCATAATGAGCCAACAAACACGCCACATGGTCATCACCTGCTCAAGGGGCTGTGGTTCAGAAGGGTTAGTGTTCAATTTTCTGTGACTGCCACATGTGCATTGCCTTAATCCATTCAGCCTTCCTGATAATGACCCTACACAGGTAACTACTTTTCCCCACCCTTTCTACTTTATTCCCCTAATAAAATATATGAACACAAAGCATAGAGAGGAGAAGCCAAAAAATTGCCATTTTATGGTCCTGTACTGTCATTCCAAACCAGCTATTTGTGCAATCGACTCCTGTGCACAGGAAAAAACACTTGACTTGCGCTTGCGCTTCGATCTGTATTTGGAGGAAGAATTGAGTGTAAAATTTAAATTAATCTCCCTCCCTCCCTAAAGGGTTGTGCTAGAAGCAGATGCACATCACACAATGCAAAGGGCTGAGGGCAGTTGCAGGGTTGCAGGCTTGAGGAATGCCTCACTGAACATGGCAGGCAAAAAACAGCAACAAGGGCAATAGAAGGACTTGGCTGTGATGCTGTGGGGCGGTGGTTATCAGGGAAGGTCTGTCCTTCAGAGAGGAGGCGTTAACCCTGGGAGATCCAGTGTCAGCAAGCTTCATTCTGTCTTAGACCAAACACAACAGCAGCATGACAGAGACCTGTGGGACCTGCAGTCCTTCATGACTGACCCATGTAAGCAGATGGCTTGTTGCTCTAGCAAGCACACTGAAATGCTCCAAGCTCCTGAGCAAGGGCTGTGGGAAAGGCTGAGTGTGTGCAGCCCAGCTGGAAGGCACAGAGACTGACCCAAGAGGATAAATGTGATGAAGATTGTGCATGGTACCAGTACTGAACTGCAAAGCACCTCTTTAGAAGAGTGAAGATTTAAGGAGACTCAGTCATGTCCTGTAGGATTTGGTTTGATAACAGTGTTTGTTACATTCCCCATTAAAGACTCCTTAAGGAATGTTTATCCCCTTTTATCTTTTCTCTCTACACAGTGTTGTTAAAGCTCTTCCCACACCTCTAGACAGCTTGCTAACCTCAACATGAGCTAGCACTGGAGAGGAAAGCAGGCATACGAAGGAATAAGTGAAGAATTGGAGACCTGATGCTTTATGTTTCTTTACAAACATTTCGGAGACATTCTCCCTCTGCATTATCAAGTGGTGAGAAAGGGAGAGGAATTCACTAGAGGAAAACACTCGTTGTAGAGGAGCTGGCAAGTTCATCAGCATTTCTGCACGAGGAGGCAGAGATGCTCAGTAAACAGCACCACTCAGTCCTCTTTCTATGGCCTGGAGCCAGGGCAGCAGCGTGCTGTTTTGGGGTAGGGTGGGGGCAGCAAAAATCGATTTAACAGTTGCCCATACCAGCTAGTGAATAAGAAATCCCAGGAATCTTGTGTGCCTGCTCTTTTACTAATGCTGTGGATGGTATCGTGCTTTGTACTGCACAGCATGAAACCCCAAGATTTTAAATAAATCTCCTCCTAAACATGAAGAGGACTTCTTAAAGATTCAGCTCACTTCATGCAGATTTCAGATTGAGAATCTATGTGGTGGGGTGGAGTTCAGGCTCTGACTTGTGACTCAGGAATTCTGACCAGAAGCTCAGAATCGCCCTCACTTTTTTCTTTCCCCAGGCTATAAAGCAAGTGATGACCCAAGGCAGGTGGTCCTTCCTCCTCTAAGGGGACGAAAACACAGAGTCATGCCTGTGGCAAAAGATTTCAACACCGAGGAAAATGACAGCCTGTCCCTTGCCTGAGACCTGCGTATGCTGAAGCCAGCAGTGTAAGACTGGTCAGGGATAGGACACGCTTCCTAATTCCAGAAATGGTTTTGCATTCAAAACAATCTGCTGTTGAACTGGCAATTCAGTCCAGCAATCTAATGTGATGCCAGGTTTCCTGACTATTTCAGCACCAAATAAACACAATTGCTCCTGACATGGGGCAGCTCTAACACAGACAAAGCCTGGTTCACAAATGGGCCAAGATGGGATAAACAGTAGTTTCCTCTCATAGGTTTTTTTCAGATGAAGCTGTTCATAATCCTGCTGTGGCTGAAAACTCCCCTGAAGTCTGACACCACCACACAGATACCTTCAGCATTAATCCTCTCCCACAGGCACCAAGAGACACAGTGTCAAGAGAGTATCAACAGTCCAGCACCGTAAATATGTGCTTTCTTCAAGTAGCTTTTCTAGCGCTGACATTCAGAATGTACAGTTCTAGTCCTGTCTTGTGTAGGACTCATTTTTTCTTAGCTGAACAAAGTTTAAGATTTTTGGAAGCAGATGGGTCTCACAGGAATTAAGTATATGCTGAAGTCAGTATACATGACGACTGAACTCAGGAGTGTGGTATTCTTGGGCAAGGACTGAATCCCTAAAGAGCATGGATGGATTGTAGATTTAATCTGATGTGTTTGGTGGTAATTTAATGTGGAGTTAAAGGCAGATTGCATTGGATATGTGACACGACAGCTCTAGCTAGTACTGACTCACAGTGAAATGACACCTATTTATCCCCTTCACAAGTGAATGAATTGCGTCATGCTAGTCCTGGCTAGCCTTGCCATAAGAAAGGATGCCCTGCTCCATTCTTATTCCTGTGCCCAAGTTACGGTATCATTTTGGTTATGCAAATGAAACAGGTATAGTGAATGAACTAAGAACTGACCTCCTCTCACTGGTAAAAGTCCAGACCTCAGACTCACCCCCTGATCTCACAGATGGATTATTTACAGTGGGCAGGATTACCTGCAGCCCTGTCTGACCCTTCCCATTCTGAACAGACACCATACAAAATATCCCCGGTGCCTACACCAACCAAAGAGGTATATCTGGACCCCTCTGCATTTGCTCTCCAGACCAGTCAGTTCTGCCAGGCACTGCCTGGCACTTTGAGCAACTTCTCTTTTGTTTAACCATAGTTTAATATAACTTATTAACCAATCATAAAATGAATTTTTTGGTTTCTCCTGGCTCCATGAACACAAAGAGGTGCACGTCCTACCATAGGAGGAAGCAATGGCTGTTAAGTTTTACAGTTATAGTGGAAAGCACTGATCACAGCCTGCCGGCCTCACTACTGGATGTGACAGGCGGTGGAGGAAGTGGCTTGGCAACACATGCAGGTAGGGTTGACCGATTTAGGGGGGATTAGGTCGAGGTCCTCGTCATCTGGGATCTCATCTAACCGGTACCCATCCTTTAGCAGCTGGATGTTCAAGTCTTGGTTGATCTGCTACAGACAAAGAGACAAACAGTCAAATACTTGAGACTTCTTACTCCTGATGGTCAGAAGATGAAGGAGGTCCCTTATTCTGGAATATATTTCCCCATCATTAGCAGCTGCCCCACCAATGAAAGAGTCCCAGTTTTTGACCACAGGTGAGGGCTGCCTTCTGTTCTAGCTTCTTTCAGAATGGGAATATCTAGAGTGAGATATTCCAGAGTAACAGATCGATACACTGTTTATTCTACAATAATCTTTCTATGAAGACAACCCCTCATTTAAAGTAACGTAATAATAATGTTAATAAACCAACTGGCAGCTGGGCAGTCCCTCCTCTCAGTCTAGGGCACACTATGGCAGCTGAAAGGTGGCAAAGCCTCTTGGCTCTTTGTAATCTCAGATTCAAGTGCTGTCTAACCAGATCTAGGTGAACAATACTTCATCAGGGCCCAGATCTGGCCCAGATCATTTGATCTGGTCCCTGCTCTTGGCTGTTTCTCTGTGTTTCAGAGAAGTATTTTGCGCAAGGAAGGGATATAAGGGGAAGAGCTCCCAGCAGCTTGTGTGCCGAAAGGCTGCTCAGCACCCTGGAAATAAAATCAGATCCCAGAGGCTGAGCAACTTATTCAGAAGAGAGCTTGGCAATATATTCAGAAACAATTCAGAGGGACTAACAAGTCTGAGCTTCTTGCCTTTTTTCTTCAAAAGGGCAAGAGTTCATATCTGCAAGTCCTCCCTGGAATTTCTGCCTGCTCCAAGTAAACATGCATTGGGTGACCCTGACTGCCCAAGGAACTAGAAAACACAGCACACCCTCGGATCCTTGATTTGTGTCCTTGGCAATCATATGGTTGCTGAGCTGGTGTGACAGACAAGTTGATGCTTTTGCACCATGTGGGCCAACACTGCAGGACTAAGCAGAACTGGGAAAAGCTTGAGTGAAGTCAAAGGTAGCTGTGAAAAAAGCCAACGGGCAGATCTCTGCGCCACGGCAGTGTGGGAATGGAGCCAAATGGATCACCAGGGAAGAAGGAAACATGACACAGTTTCTGCCACAGTCTCTTCCAGACTTACAGAGTCTACACTACTGGTAAATTTTTGTGTACCCATTTCCAGCATTACAAGGCCACTCTAAGCTGTTTGGCTGCTCTACTATTAGCATTCATGGCAAGGATGGCAAGAGAGAGTATAACTCACCTCAGCTGATGAGTATCCCGAGGAGGAGTATCTAGACATGTCAAAGTCATCATCACTGCAGGGAAGGACAAGATATAGCAATGAAGGAAACAGTTAAAGACACCTGTATTCCCTGGTTAGCCCTATCTTTCCTGAGCCATGAAGCTGTCCTTGAGGCACAGAGAAGTTACAACAAGGGACCCTGGAGAGCAACTTCCATCTGTGACCCTCAGATCTTTCCATCACAGTGCTCTTTACTCATGTCTCCTCCTCCTGGTTTACACACACAGACCAGTTACAGCATATGCCAAAGGGCACAGCAAGGAAGAGTGCGAGTGGCCTACAAGAGTGGTTTCAGCAGGAGTTAGCTTCAGTGCTGCAGTCTGGCATGAAAACTTGCTTGCATTGTAATGTATGTCATCTTATTAACACTTTGCATACCTGTCCGTATCCAGGGCTACCAGTGGCTTTTCATCTGGGCTCTGGTCTAATGACGAATAGCCCTTATTGGGAACGACGAGCCTGAAATAATTAAAAGTTGTCCGTTAACCACACAGTAAAGCTCAGTACCACACACAGTCCAGGGCAAAGCTATATGATAGTTAGGCTTTGCCCATTTCACTTCCTTGCAAGCTCTCCCTTATCATTGAAGATGTTTAAAATGTGTGCAATTCAGGGGAAGTGAGCTGTGTCTCTGGGTGGCTTAGAGCAGTTTCACAGGGATGAACGCTGGACATGCCTTGGGAACATGTTCCTCCCTAGAAGAAAAAAACATTGGGACATTCCATGTTCCATTCTGGTGAACCTCTTTGTCTAGCACTGCTTGTCACAACATTGTTTATTTTTGCATTGCTTTTCTTTCCTAGCAGAGTGCATGACAGTAGCAATAAGTAAACAGGAGAAGGAGGCTAGGGGAAGGCAGAGGCTCAGTGGTCCTACTATTCTACTACTGGAAATCAGGGATCTGGTCTTTCTGTCTGTGTGCCTACCCAACACCCCCCACCCCCCCGCCCCTCCCCAACACAACACTTCTGAGGTCTCAGTCCTAAATTTAGTAATATAAGAAATATGAGCTGGTGAGTGAAACGTAAGAGCCCAGTCAGACTAGCACTTTTTAAATCCCATTATTTTATAATGACTTTCACTTCATCAGAAGTGTTACAAAGGCTGACGATGACTTAGCACCTTTAATTGCCTGAGAGAGTTTGTGAAATGGAATACAGGCTTTAGAGCTTCTAGGATAAGGAAAATGCATTAATACAATGGTACCTATCTCACAACAGAGTTCTTTCATTCACAAAACTGTACAAAGACTTTGGGTCATATTTAAAATAAGATGAACCAAATCAAGCAAATGGAATAAGATTCTGTGTTCAGCAGGTGGGAACTGTAAGAGTGATGAAAATCTCATTCAGTGGGTTAACTCAAGTTTTCTCCCAAACGAAGAACTGGTCTTTAATAACATACAATGATGCACAATTATGCTTCACTAAGAGTTTGGGAAATACAAAGTAAAGATGATAATCCATCTCATCCATGCTTGAACTGGTCTCTAACTACCTGAAATGTTTTTCTGCTCAGAAAATTTCAGGCAGCCATTACAATTTTAGCAATACAAAGGCCTGCCAGGCAGTAAAGATGGGCAGGCTCAGGGAGAGCAAGATAAAACAAATGTTATTACAAACCAGATATATAAGTTCATGACTACTTGTATTTTCTTACTCTGTTCATTGAAACACAATATTAAAGAAACTATTTTTAAAACTGACGCAGAATGTCCAATCTGCTGCGCCAGGGGACTAGAGAAAACGGGATCCTCTTGCAAAATCCAATACTCCTTCTGATAGCAGTGGGACAGCCCTTCTGCCCCTGAAGCATTTAGGAAGTAGTCAAGAAGCAAAGATGTCTGGAACTGAAGCTGTGACTTACAGCAGCAGCTTGCCCATACAGGTATCAGAAGTACTGACTTCCATTCTTTTTTTCCATTTTTCAAGTCATGCTCCATATATATTCACTGACAGTTCTTAGCATATCATAAGTGAGCAAATCACTATCAGGGAATCTGGGAGAAGAATGCTCTGTGGTGCTATTTACTTGATAAAACAACTCCAAACACTACATCTTTTTTTTTTTTTTTTTTTAAATGTCTTTTTTCCTAATAACATAGAACTTCAATTTTTCTGGCCCTGATTTAAGTCTTCCCCTCACATCCTAATTGTCCTTATTTTCACTTCCTACTGCCCTTGGAACAAAGCCCAGGTAGCAGTCGTGGCTGCTTTCATCCACTGCTGTCCCATCTTGGTGTTTTTGATCACTTAACATGAAACATGTTACAACACAAATCCAGGTTTAGGTTATCCTCAGAGTGGACTGCAATATCTGGCTGTGCCCAAGTGGTGCAGATGGTGGTGTGGGCTCTGCCTGTGCTGGCAGCCACTGTGCCAGCATCACCCCAACCTTGTTCACATTTTATCTGCTCTTAGGGAGACTGAGTGTGTTATGGATTCAGATCCTTTCACCTTTAAGGCTGCCTGTGTGCCTGCCCCAGAAGGAGAACAAATGGTGAAGTCAACCTGGTACTAGAGCCTGGATGTCAGAAATTCATATAGATAATACAGAAGAACAGAAACCTTGCGATAGGAGGAGGTGGAGTAGAGACTAGGAGAGGCAATGTGGTTTGCCTGTATGAAGGAAAACATATTTGATGAGAACAGCAGAACTGTTAAAAAGGGGGAAATGCTTTTAGCTTATTTTCCTCTTGCAGACATCAGAAGAAACCAATAGTTCCGACTTAAATCATAACCTGGATGTTTTGAAATATGTCCCACTGGAGTATCTCCCATTATACCACAACCACTACACTGTGAAAAAAAAGCTGCTTGAATAAGCTTGTGGCATTTCTGCCTTCCTGGGGTTGCCCTGTCTGTGGCAAGACAGACTGAACCATTCTGCGGTATTAATAGGGCTGTGCATGTGGGGCAGCTTGGTTCCCAGAAAGCCAAGGGACCTGAGGGATGAAGGGACTTGGGCCAGTGAAGACCCTGTGCCACACACCTCTCAGCCATATGGGAACAACAGAGCTTGCCTACATCTGCTACTGAAGCAATTGCTGCAAACCTCTGTGTTGCAGATCCCAAGGGATGCTTCTAAAAGCTGTGTGAAAAGAAATTAAGAAAAGGCAAGACTACTGCCAGGAGGCTGTGCTTGGCTGTGGAGGGGTCCACACGTCCTCTGAATGGTGCTCAGAAGTCCACAAATGCAGTAAAACTGAGCTGGCTGTTCAAAAGCTTTTGTCAATAGATGTCACTGCGCTGCTCTTACCTACTCAGATAACTCTTCTTTCCATCGGCAGCTCAGAAACAACAACCTCTCCAAGCAAAAGACACTGATTTTACAGGTAAGCACCTGTACTTAGCTATCTTCTTTCCCTTACCATCTTCCACCACCAATTTCAGTGTTTCTAAATATCTCAAGAAGCAAATCTGCTACCATTCCTCTCGGGAAGCTAGCATGCAGCCTATTGCCAAAAGAAACCAAGCCTTTCCAGCTTATATTTAGAAGACAAGGAGGAACGGTGGGTGTGGAAAACTCAGCTGAGAGCATTTGCTGAATTTCTTGCTGCCATGAAAGGTCTGGCTCCTTTATATGGTCTCAACAATGAAACACAGAGCAGGGTGCAATGCAACATGTTCCACCAACATTTCAGAGGCTTACAAAAAAACCTTTACAAATTCCTGGCATGATTTATGACTACTATTTTGGGTTTTGGGAATTAATGTGAACAAGGAACCTCATCTGTTGGATGTGTTGCATACAGAGAGGCTCTGACCTGCAGTTCCTGTTCTGCTTAATATATGGTAATCCATGCAACTTTTCCATTCATCAGTAATCACCCAGCATTCACTCAGATCCTTCTGTCATTTTAAATCAGGTCCTCCCCTAAAACTAATACCTTTCTAGTAGCATGTAAAGCATGCAATCCTGTGGGCTCAGGGGAGGTTCCTGCTTCCTGAATGCAGGTAAGTAATACGCTGGTGCATGGAAAAAAGCTTGCATGGAAAAAAATAGAAATACTATAAAAGAAAGTATTCAGCTAGGAACATCTTTGTTTACAGTGGTTTGTAGCACTGTCTGATACTGCCATGCGGAGATGTGCCAAAGCAGTTCCAGCAAAGTATGACCATGCTGTTCAAAGTGTGGAGGAGGTGTATAGCAAAGCACACAGAGATGGATTATGTACAAGCCTTCATTAAGTCAGCCAGTATGGGGAAGGGGTCATCATCAAAAAGGAGCAGGGGAATTACTGAGATAAAAGCAGACAAGGCAGAACTATGCTTTACACCAGTTTGTGTTAAATGAAGCAGCATTGTACCTCTCCTGCTGACAGGATTATGGATTACATGAGGTTACCCAGAACATGCAAGGCAGCTGTATCAAACCCCTGATCTCGACCAGGCTCTGCCTCCTGCAGGCTGCACTGTCACTGGTCCTGGGCTCAGCTGTCCCTGCATCTGCCTGGGGTGTGGGACGCAACACAGCACAGAGCATTTGGGCCTGCCAGCTTTGGGAAGGGCGGGCCATCACTGCTCTCACAGAGTGTTTGGCAGTGGGAAAATGGTAATGAACATCATCCTTGCCCATCCTAATGCCGTTAGGGATTGCAGTTTAGAGCACAGCTGAGTGCTTTTCCAGTCCTTTACCTTGTTCGTGCCATCACATTGTTCTTCTTGGGCTGCTGATTAACTGGGCTTCCCATGTTGCCGTTCTTCAGGGAGCCCTTCCGAGCCAGCTCCCTCTGCTTCTCTGCATATGGGATACAAAGGGGAAAAGCAAAATTAGGGCAACAGCCTGGCTGGCCAGCATACAGCTGCAGAAAGCCAGATCTGATAGTGGCAAAAGGCATAGCAGAATTAATAACAAAGGACATGAGCTCTCAATCTCCCAAGCAGGCACACTGCAAAGGCCGGACAAGCTGTGTCCCATTGCCTCCAAGGTCTCCAGGGCCTAAAACTAATGTACCATGACTCAGAGCAGCTGTTAACACACACTAAGATGGTCATGGAGCTTCTGGATAAGACCCAGCTGAGGCAGAGAAAGGGCAGAGACCTTGTCTCTCTCTGCACCCAGCTCCTGCATGGACCCTAGGACTGTGCTTTGTGCTGGGCAAGGGCATTTATCCCTCTACCCGTTCTCTTCCTATTGAGGCTGCTACTTAGGGGCCCAGTGGGGACAGAAAATGTCTTCATCATTTAGTGTTAGTTCAGCCTACCTGACACCGGGCCGGAGTATCTGCTGCTTCCCTGGACAGCTACTCACCAGATTAACACACCCTACAGCAGAAAGTGTTGCTGCCTTCTCTGTTTTTCTTCCTGGCAACCTGTGATGTCTCCAGTGTGTCTTTTTCTTTTATCTCACATTGATTCTACATTGATTCTTGGGAGCTTGCTTCCTTTATTTTTTAAGAAAAGAGAAACATTTTGCAGCTGTATTTTCAAACAGCATATTGTTTGCTTACATTTTCAGAGCGTGTTCTACTCGCTCTATTAAGCTTTCTTTACCTATTCAAGCACAAGAACTTCTCCTTTAGGAGAGACTGTTTATCTTAATAACTTCTCACCACATGATAACAAGTAGAATTTGAGTCCTAAAGCTAAGCCTTCTGCAAGTATGCAATGTCTGTGCTGTAATAATATGGTCCTGCCTCCAGCAGGGATAGGAGCACATGGATGATGAGTTTTCATACAAACCGATATTCAGTTTTTTGATTTAAAGTATTTGCTTGTGGAAAATCAGTTGATTAGCCACAAAAGTTGAGCTAACTGCCCCACTCTCATTGTGCAATGCCAGGCAAGGCTTGTAGCAAAAAGTTGACATGGGACGAGTAAGGCAGGAAGGGAACCAGGTGAAAATGTTCTCCAGAGTGTGAGAAAATGTTGGGAACTACTATTGTGGCATGTCTGAATAATAGGGGTTTACCAGACTGCTTGCTGGGGAACCTGAATAATGAATTAATTTTGCTTCTGCTATCCCTGTGGTGTGTGAAATACACATGTGTTGATACATTTTTTTCTCTTGCATCTCTTCCCATCAGAGAGAAAAGCACATTTTTTCCCACTTGATGTGGAAAAGCAGCATGCCTACCAGGCTGTGCAAGTGCAAGGTAGGCCAACTCCATCCCTTCCACACAAGTAAGAGCAGGGGGACACATGTCCAAGGCTGCCTTTTTTGAAGGACAAATAAGCAGCAGAGATGCCTACAGACTGTGATGATGAGTGTGGCTGAGAAACCTGCAGAGAAGATTACATGGTCCCACAAACCATGCCCAGCTCTGCTCCTGCTGACAGCAAAGGTGAATAAATGTTCATTGAACTTGGCAGGAAAAGGATTGGATTAATAACTCTCTCTGGCATAAGCAACAAAGAGGCTGATACAGGACCAAAGTCAAAGCCTTAAATCAAGTAATTTCTCAGGACTGGAACTTGCAAATGTCTTGGTTATCTCTGTCTCCAGAATAAAAGGCAGGTATTTTGCAGACCATGTGGATTTTGATATTCAGACTCAGGGATAAAGCGGGGTTTTATGGAGGCAAATGTTTACAAACCCTAAGTACAACCAACTTCCACCCATCTACACCAGAAACTCTAGCACTGACCACAAATACACAGCACTGAGACAAGCTGCCAACACTTTAAGAGGCTGCATAATTCGCAAAAGGCACCTGACTCAGAAATGAGGTTACAGGTTTCATTTTGTGTCAAGGCAGTTAAGGCCTGCCTGAGCCTTTTAAATGGGCCAGTGCTCTCTGCTTTCTGTCGATTGCTTGGTACAAGAACTAATGCTCTTCTCCAATTCAGATTATTTATTTGGGTGATGAATCTGGACTTCCGCTGTTTTTTCTCCAGCAGGTCTCTCCATGACTACTTCTATGTTGTTACTGAGTCCTACTGCAACGTGTGGGTCTGAACGATGAGATTTTATATTTAACCCCTTCTTTCACTTATTTAGTGGCTTAGAGCAAATAATCCCAATGCAATATAATGTGTGGTAGGAACATCTATTCCTGTGTCCCCAGTCAACAGTTCATCTCCCTCTTGGATGTTTTGAATCCTGAGTCCCTGGTGACCAAAATGTGATAGCTTCCAAGGGGAATGGGAGGCATACTCAACCCTCATGTGTTACGACAAACTCCTGGAAGGTTGTGGAGATGTGCATGAGTCATGTCAGGCTTTGAGGCAAGGAAAACTAATATTTGAGCCTCACAAGTATTATGAACTACTGCTACTTCTGCCATCACCCAAGGGAGTTTTCTGGTGCCAATCTCTTGTAGTAATTCTGGGCTGTAAATTCCAGCCTCACACACCATCAGGTCCATCAGAATGAGGGAAGGAGGTTTTCAGTGCCCATTTTCTGCATGGTGCTTCCTCCTGGTATAGCACGTGGAGTTTGTGGACCCTGTTTCTAGGTAGTGAGCTCTTTCCCTGGCTTCCAGTTTACCTGGTTTTTGTCCCCAGATGTTTGTTTGAAGACTAGGTTCCTAAACTCTAAGCACTGAGTTCTTAGAAATGTGACTGATTTAGGCAGTTCTGAAGATGTTACTTTCAGGGTCCAACATTTTAACAAAACCCTCTAATTTCACGGATTAAAGTATTTCTCATAAAAGATGCGATCAGGCACATAAGCAGTATGGTAAAGACAAGTTAGAGAAGGAACAACAACCTAGCCTTGATAAGTAAATGGCATTTTTCTTTAAAGTCTGCCCCATATTGGCTGATGCTACATCCCACATGAGCATGAATCCTAAGATCACAACCCTCCACTGAGCCAACTGTGCTAATATTTGTGTGAAACCTGGCAACTATGCACCTGGGCAATTCTCAGGGAATGCTATGATGCTCTTTCCTTCTGAGTCATCACTTGAAATGGTAGCCAAGTATTCCCTATTGGACTCAGATGAGACCAGCGTTCCTACAACTCCCCCAGCCTCAAGGCTGCTGCTTAGCTTGAGTCACTGAGGGCATGGTCCCACCAGAGGGATAGGCATAGCTTGTCCTCAGCACTTGGCAGTTTCTGGAGCTGGCTATGAAAAGGGTTTCCATGTTTGTGACTGCCTATGCTGCCTGCAGCATTCCAGCATGTGCAATGAATTCCCAGGAATGCAACATAGCCTCATGGGAAATCAATGCTGACCCTACAAAACTGCCTAATTCTGGGCAGCTCCTGGGCACCAGAAAAATGACAAGGGTTAACAGGCACTCTTCCCAAATACAGAGAAAATGGGACATACAAGAACAAATGAAAAACCAGAAGACTCTGATTTCCAGCCACTGGTTATTTTATGTCTGGTGAGTTTGCTGTTGGATGATCAATGAAAAGCTAATACAGTAGAGATATAAGGCGAAGGAGAGAGACTTGGAGATGAGGAAGCCAGAATGAAACAAGGCTGCTCTCCAGCTGCTTCAGAGAAATCACCAATTTGTGGCAGTAAAAGAGCTCCAATGATGCTTCTTACATGGTATTTGCAAGTATTTGAAATAAGTTGTTCAGCTTCCATTTCACATGGCACCACTGTACCTATGAAATACACCTGCGGTTTGTCATCCCCCTTCCCACGACACAGTTATGGGTGACTGAGCACACTGTGAGTGCAGGTATGATGGCTTGCAGAGACAACAGGCAATCACTATCAGCAGGGCTGGTACAGTTGTGGGAGAGACAGCTATAGCCAAATCCAGGTTCTTGTTGGCTTTTCACTGAATTTTCAGACAGACACTTCCTTGAAGAAGCAGGACAGAGAAGAGGAGGTTGGGAGGGCATGAAATAGCCTACCTATGCCTTTGACATTAAGAAGTATGCTCAGTAAGGAGCATGAAGATCCTGTCTGATCATTAGCAGGACTGCCCTGTTGGGTAATGCATGAGGTTTGCATGGCAAGGTTTTGGCAGAGGGAGACTACAGGGGTGGCTTCAGTGAGAAGCTGCTAGAAGCTTCCTCTATGTCCAACAGCCAATGCCAGCCAGCTGTAAGGTGGACCCACCACTGGCCAAGGCTGAGCCCATCAGTGACAGTGGTAGCACCTCTGGGGTAACATGTTTGAGAAGGGGAAAGAAAACTGTGCAAAGGCAACTGCAGCCAGAGAAAAGGGTGAGCATATGTGACAGAAACCACTCTGCAGACACCAAGGTTGGTGAAGAATGAGGAGGGGCAGGAGGTGCTCCAGGCACCGGGGCAGAGGTTCCCCTGCAGCCCGTGGTGCAGCCCGTGGTGCGGCAGCTGTGCCCTGCACCCATGGAGGTCCATGGTGGAGCAGAGACCCACCTGCAGCGCGTGGGGAACCCCACAACAGAGCAGGGGGATGTGCCCAAAGGAGCCTGTGACCCTGTGGGAAGCCCACGCTGGAGCAGGCTCCTGGCAGGACCTGTGGCCCTCTGGAGAGAGGAGCCCACGCTGGAGCAGGTTTGCTGGCAGGACTGGTGACCCCGTGGGGGACCCACGCTGGAGCAGTCTGTTCCTGAAGGGCTGCACCCCATGGAAGGGCCCACGCTGGGGCAGTTTGTGAAGAGCTGCAGCCTGTGGGAAGGACCCATCTTGGGGAAGTTCATGGAGAACCGTCTCCTATGGGAGGGACCTCACGCTAGAGTGTGTGGAAGAAGAGTGTGAGGACTCCTCCCCCTGAGGGGGAAAGAGCAGCAGAGGGAATAGGTGATGAACTGATAACACCCATTCCCCATCCTCCTGTGCTGCTGTGAGAAAAATCAGGAACAGAGATGAGAAGGGATGGATGGGGGGAAGGTGGTTTTAAGATT